TACTCTTCCAACGAGTCTGGTATCAGTTACTCGACCCCGGAGGGATGGAAGGTTTGGTTTGTTTAGGCGAGCATTAACACTATCTCACACGCATGGTGCCGGGCTTCCTAACACCCCCCTCCCCCGGCCGGAATTAGTTATTTGGTACCAGACTTGTCTGTTAGGATAAAAGCACTGACTCGCGCATCGAATGACCTTTGCACATCCTTGAATAGGCCGCTCCAAGTAGTTAAATTGAGCTCAAGCTCAACCCATCTAGTTGGAGCTTGTATGGAAATTGCAAGAGGTAAGCTACGGAAGATGCTTACTATAGAAGAGCAGAAAAAGTCAGGTAAAAGAATGTTCTTCATAAACTGCAAGAGACTGCTATAATTTAGCATATGTCGTAAATTTTTTAGAAGAAGTTTCGTCTACGAATGCAGACACATTATTAATTCATTAGTCTCGGAACCTCGACTAGATTGAGTGCGATTTTCTGCAATTCCCAGAGAGATCACAGGAAAGACGTTGGTCTTTTTGGCAGATGTTACCTCCCGGAAATACTCGAAGAGTAGCTTCTCAGGGGAAATTCGTACCATCGCAAATAAGTGCTTTGTTGCTCTTCTCCTCAATAGTATGGTACAGTCATGGAATCGCCAATGTCTCCCGACAATTAGACCCTGAATTGTATCTAAAAGAGTGAATGTTCTCCGTAGTTGGATGTCTGATCGCATTGAACACATACTGCTGGTACAATATTGTCGCAGGATGTGCACTACCACTTTTTCCATGATGACCTTTTAGTTCCTTTCAATATTGCTACCATCTATATTTGTAAGTTTCACAAATCAATGCTTGTAAACTCCTCTATAAAAGCACCTCTAGGGGTGGTTACGAATCAAGTTCAGTTGTGTCGGGACCTCTTGCTCAAGATGCATTTGCACATCATTTTTGTGGTGGGTTTAGGAACGCTTTCTGATAAGGAAAGTAAAATATCACGTGGCGCAAAAACGTCGGAAAAATTCTTAGTTGTCAATCTAACAATTAACTTGGTTCTCCTAACAGATGAATGGCGCTCTTCTGATTGCCTATGGATACGCAGAAACTACAAGAAAATTCGCCTGCAGGAAGAACGTTCCTCAACATGTTGAGGAAATCCTCTTTAAGATCATAAACAGCACACGTCCCGATGATTTCCCATCGTACCCATTAGTGAGTATTTCGAGGTGATGCATTGAATAAGGAAAGGATTCAGTGGCCATTCAAGAAGGAGGTATGGTATGTTACCGAAGATGTTTATGGCATGTCTCTACTTTTCAAATTGTCAGCGAATTGCAGAAATATGAGTGCCCAAAAGGAAGAAAGGCCTTCAAACAGCAGCCATCCAAAGGAGAGCTAGGTGGAATTTCTGCCTTTAAAGGCGAAATGTCTTTGGTGTTTAGATAATATCGATGCTTTCATTTTGGCTCAACATCTTCCCTCCTCCAAATCTTTTGTTAATATTAATTTCTCATATAAGAATTGGAATGAATTTTACTGTTTAGTAACTTCAATTTCGACTAGGAAGTATCGTTAAAACGTGCTGTCGAAAATGCGGGCAACCAGGTAGGTAGTAGTTCGCATCTTTCGTCTGAGTTCTGTCCAAAATTTTCAGTACGCGACACCTTATATGAGAACCACACCACGACTATATTCCCCACATTTTTCATGCACTTCAGGTAGCGTTCATCGGGTCTTAATGCAACGAGAATTGGATGTGGAATAAAGCTCAGCATCAAAAAAAAATACTGGCATCCATAAGTTGCAGCTGAATGCAACTTCGGTTCGTTTTCATGCGAAATTGATTTCCATTGTTGCGCCGTTTCATAGACGATATTAAGAAGAATTCAGGTGGGAATGCTGCTGCTAATTCGAAAACGAAAACATCTGAAGTGAGAAATGTTCATAAAATAACTATATTAACCAGAATAAATATGCTTATCCAGGTAGACATTGCGAGAAACATTGGCAAACTCTCTTCAAAAACGCTTAGGTTGTAGTGAGCGCTTTCAGAGTAGAGCGCTGAGCGTCAAGGATGAAGAATTCAGTGCTGAGCACGCCGGCGCTCGTAGGCCGCATTCAAAGACCACCAGCGTTCACGCAGCCGTTGACAGTCTTTGTGTCGGAGCATGTTACTTCTTAGGCAGCGACTTACACCTCTTTCATAATTAGATACTTCTGTCAGGTTAACATAGCAGTGAAAAAAGGAAGTTATCAATTTCATATACAGATAAAAACTGGGAAATAAGTATAACAACCAACTCGATCGAGAAATCATTCACAGAAGACCTGTGCATTCGTAGTAATTATTCGCAGCCTACCCGTGGCATTAATGGAGAAGTGTTATAAGCGCTGTGCGCGCTTGACGCTCGACGCTTTACTCTAGACCGCAACTCACTCAGGTTCCAAAAGTGGCACCCTTCTTACGCTGCTACTTGTATTCAAAAGACATCGAGGTCACTGGTAACGCCATACTTCTATCAAAATATGGATGGCCGAGAGGTGTGTGTTTCAATTATGAAGGCCTTTTGCTATGGAAATCGCTGTACTCGATCCTCGTGTAAAGTTGATAGATAGCATTAACCAGTGGATTCCTCAAAGTTTACGTTTTACGTAATTTTTTGCAGAGTTCAATCACATGCATTGAACAACTGTAAATCAACACCTCACATGACTACGAGATGATGTGAGGTGGATTTGAATCTGGATAGTAGGAGCGCCTCATTCTACCGAGGATAGCCTTGACTTTCCTTGGTCTGCCGTGCTTACTAGCTGGCTTCGTTCCAACTATTTTGGATGATGGCAGAAATACAGATAACAAAGAGCTTTGTGTTGGATCATATAAGCGACTGAAGACCACCTAGAACCTCATTAAGTACTCTTTTTCTTCGAGAAGATTAACAGCTGCACGATTTTACCCATTTCGTCTTGACAAAAATACATTCTTATCTTCATTTACTTCAAACTTTCATGGATGCCACCGGAAAGGTAGCTAAAGTGCTTTTTCACGAAGTCCCAGAGTGAAAACTGGCAGGTAAAACAGAAAATATTCTCAATCTTTAACAAAGTATGGTAAGCCTTCTATCGAAGGGATTTCAAATCCAATCAAATTTCTGTGACTAGCCATATGTTGTAGCCCAATGGCTTGAAATCGCCCTCATACGCTTTTCATTTTGCCTAGGCTCACTTTCCTAGATTATTGGCTTGTCTTAGTATTGTGACCTTTACCTTCTTTACTTAGAAGCTGAGGTGGTGTAGTGGCGAATTGTGTATACTATCCACAAGCATGTCCGAGATCGAATATGGGACTGATGATCGCTCAGGCTAATAAATCCTCCCATCAACGATCTTTTCTGAATTCCATCTTGAGCCTCTTGTCGCTCTTTTCAAAAAGTTCAGAAAGTTCGTTGACTGTTAGAAAGGCCGTCTTTTCGAAAACCTGAAACTTCTCAAAATTGCAGTTCAGAAACTCAGAACATCGCCTAGACTACTACTGTCCGATATTTTACCAATCTCGACTCACTCAAAAACTGGAAAGGACAACTTGATTGGAGAACTTCAGCTTAGAAGGATGGTTGAACATTATGTAATCCCTGAGTGGTAGTAAGAGACAACTTTGAAGGCTCGGTAGTACTGCGATTCTGTTGCTCATCGGCATATCCTACGCTCTGTTCTCTGTTTTCTTTTTAGATCTATTTTTCAGGTGTAAATTGATGTCTTCACTTACGCCTCAGGGACTCGGAAGTTACGCAGACAGCATCAGCACGCAGTCAGCGTTATAGCGTTATTCCACACCTTCGAAAGGACAACGCATGTTGTTGTCCGATACACGCATGGACAGATAAGTGGCGCTCTCCGCCAACAAACTAAGTAAGAACGCAGGATTGCTGTCGCTCACGCCAAGGAATCAAGGGAGGAAAGGGGAGGAGGCGGGCGGGAGTGGAGGTAAAGGGGGAGAGGGTTGAACACATATAGCAGTGTTGGTATGTATAACAAAGAATTAACTCGGTGTTCCGTGCCAGGGGAATATAGCTCCCTCTGAGCTGTAGCTATAGGAGGGAAGGAGCACCGGTTTGAGCAAGTTGATTAAACGTTCGATTTCTACCCCATCTCAGGTTTTCGCACAAGATAATCTTCTCAACCGTCCCGGTGCTCTTCCCCTCCCCAGGCTTAGGTAAAAACCACATTCCCTGACTGAACTCGTATAAGAGCCGGTGCCATCTTTGTCTCCGACACAGTTTAACACGACATAACACGTAGAAGCGTGTTAATTCCTTGTTATACCAACAATTTTACGTGTCCCCCACCACCACACCCACTCCAACTACATTTTTCAGCGAATCATTCATCCCGGAGTTTTCAGAAGAAAGGGATGGGGAGTCCACTGGCATAAAATATCGTAACAGGAACGAAGAGAGTCTGGCGACTGACAATGCGAAGTGTAAAAAACCGAAATCGGACCGCTATTCAGAAATTTAGGTAGCGCTAGACGAATGCGTACTGAAGAACTGTTACGAGACCCCAAGCCTAACTTTTACACTCTTAACTATTATGGGTAATGATTCAGAAGGACCTCCTATCTGCCATCGGAGTATCATTCACCGCGACACATTTATACTTATTTGAACTTTCCAATCAGCTGTGATCTTGTGCTTTACCTACTGCTAACTCTAAAAAAGAAAAAACCCCAGTCGCAGTCCATCCCATGCGCTTTCTCCATGTGGGCTGGAATTCTTACCGGTGACTCTGACCAATCAAAGTAGATCTGCTGTCATCTGTTCTCTATTGCTACAGTCGAGTATACACCCACTCATAATTTAATCAGTTTGGCCGAACATCAAAGAAAAACAACTTTATTCTTTAAGTTCATCAACAGTAACACGCTTCGGATAGAATTCGTATATAATATTACTGTAACACTAAAGGCACACGACACTCGACAACAGAACTTCCTAGGTGTTGAGCTTCACATTTCTGACAGTTTATTTCTTGGCTTTGGGTGCCATGGCCTTCTTCAGAGTCTTCGCTCTCTTCCCAATCTTAGGGTTTTTCTTCACCATCTCGGTCCACTTCGGTATCAGGATGCGCTGCAAAAGGATGTTGTTGCGCGGAAATAGAGCTGCAACTAAGAAAAATAAAACCCAGATAGACGAACCATGCGTACGGGTTTGTTACTCTTCCTGATCCATGGAATAGGGACACTCAAGGCAATTGATTTCCTCTCTACGATGGCTCCACCCTGCATAATAACTACTCCAAGGCTCACCTGGAAGTATGAGAGTCGATAAACTGCAGATTCCAAGCAAAGAAATCAACCACAAGATTGCCTGTAAAAAAATTGAGCGGTGGATTCAAGACATACCTTAATCACATTGTCGTGGATTTCGTTAGGAGAAACCATAAACTCTATAACGTGAGGCTTGTTCCACTCGTCTTCCCTAATGACATAGATTGGGCCCATAGCTCAGTAAGTAGGATGAGAGTAGGCTCCTTGGAAGCTTCAGGAGTAGCCAGATCGTATGGACAAGACGATCTGAGTCGAAATGACAATGAACGGTGGAGCCGACAATGCGATCATTAAATAGGAGGTAGGGTCCTCCCGTCGCGCCCCCATTACCGGAACCGCACGGCGTCGTACAGGACGTGGCTCGGAAAAGCATTCATAAAACCTGAACTACTTAATGAACTGACTCCTTTTTTGGTGGTCAAATGGGAAACACATCGGACTAGCACTCTGCAAAGTTTCCTTTTGAAATATGCAATATGACTGCTGATAATTGGCGTATAAATCGGAAGTCGGCATTTGCGAAATAAGAGTAAGGACCGTTGAACTTTGAAAATCTAACCAATACTTCGATCTACAACTAATCCCCTACACTAGCTTATACGGTATAAAACATGGAGAAGATCTCAGCTGAGAAAGTTGCTCTAACAGGGTACTTTGTGTGATGTAATCGAATTTGTTGGGATATCAACCAGCTAGCGCACTTCTTTCGTCGATATGCATATCGACGAGTCTCTGAAAATCCAGATTTCTTTGCAGATTTTCTTTCGCTTTATCTTCTATCGGACCTAATGACACTTATTTGCTCATTTTTGAAACCTACTACCCATGCCATATTAATCCCCAACCTCAGCTTTCAGGAAATGGAGACCTCCGCACCCAGATAGGTGGGATTTTCAAGAGTTTGTTCGTTGGCATGCCGTTGAAATGTGATTGAGCAACCATAAGTCCGATGTGTACACCCTTAACAACCTAATCCAATCTGAATGCGCACGTCTTCAATAGCTCTTATTCAAATCCGTCATGACCAGAAATCAGGCCCCATAGATCTTCCCGCCACTCTGTGCCCCTACGAGCCCCCACCCAGTCTATCTCCCCCTCTATCTCACTGTCTTGTTCAATGAATGATCAAACGGTACCGGTGCTCAGACCCTATTCATTCATCTTACTTGTTGAAGTGGACACGAGATAATGAAAATCGGTGACCCCACCACACCGGAAGAAAACTGTGTCTTGAAACCAACCAGGCCTGTCATCCTCCCCAATTCGCTCCACTACGGCTTTGTATAGATGTCGAATTCACGGAAGCCCTCAACATTCATTTTTCATCGTTACTGTAATTAATATTGTGCAATATAAGGAAACAACTGCTCCTTACTTCCGCTCTACTGACTGCAATTGGAATGATGCTAGCATAAATCCACATCAAGAGTGCTCAGGATAAGGGAGATCGCGTGTTTGCTAAGACTTTTTGTGCTGCTCGTTTTCCGGGCCCCATTCGAGCGGTACAAGCCTTTTCCGCTCAAAAAAAAAGCAGCTTCTAATCATAGACAACATTTCTTGAGACGCTCGACTCTCTCGTCTGTTTGAATGTACAGGTTTATTTGCGTGGGATTGATTCTCAGTTGTTGCTCATGTTAGCGACTTTGTGCCGTCAATTCAACCATCACCTTCACCAATACACATCATTGTTTCAAACACAGGGAAAGGTCCCAAATTAGTCGCGCTCAAAGACTCTCCGACGATTCACCTAAACTTACTGACATACCCTCTGTGTCAATTGAGCCCTTCCTTCAAGCTCCTTGAAGTTTTTTCCAGTTTCCGTTTTCTTCAGTACTTTCTTTACACTTAGCTTATCATCCTGCTGTACTGAGAGGAGGAAGAGGCATTCCCAGAACTGACCTGGACATCGGCCGTACACCCAAATCCTTATCTAGAAGGGTAGACGTGTGCATCTTTAACTGCTTCTACATTTTTGGGGAACTCCCGAGCCAGTCGAGCATTCCACTGACTTCGCTCAACATCAATAACTTTATTACGCGAATCCAATTTAATCTGTTGTTGGTACAATGGAAAAAGCCATAGATGCATCATAGTCCATGAATTCCTCAAAAATCGTCCATTGCTTACCCCTCTCCAATGACTGATCACCTAATTGCAGAGTTATCGAACAACTGGACCTCTGACTGATTCCCTTCTTTCTGGATACTGAACGTGATTTGAATTCATGGCGCATCCTGAATGGGCTGGCTAGGATTTCCTGACCGGCCTCAACTTCTACATTTGCCTCCATGGACTGGGAATGTGAAGGATTGCAGATCTCAGGCATATTTTAGTCGCTGGCCAGTGTTTTCAGACCAAGTCAGTTTCGAGACATTCTGCTAACAATGGGTCACATAACAAGCCGCTTGCTGATTTGGTAGCTTCACGGAGGAGGAGGGATATCCGCTTGTACGACGTCACAATCTTTGAACCTCAGACTTCCTCCCCGTTTCGTCTATAAATGACACATGAAAATGCCTGCTTCCGAAATACAATAGCAAGAGCTGCTAGCATTCATTCCGATAAATTAATCTTGGAAGTGCAAGTTTTCGCTGCAAACTTTATTTTTTTCTGTCGACCCGAGTCAGACCATGGGTCATACTTCGCAGAGCTTTCCCATTCCCAGGAGAATTTGTGAACCTTGGGCCTGGCCAAAAGCTGTCCCGGGCTGAACGTGTGGAAACCTGCACAATTTGGTCTCCCGGCAAGTTAAACAAGTTGACGTGACTAGTTTTAACAAGTTCTTACAGATGAAGAACAAAAGGCTATGGCCTGCCATCGACACATAACCACCGTTGACGTGGGAACCTTTCATTTTTCACTTGTAAAAGATTGT